ATTTCTTACACTCCTTCACTGTTATTTTCTCTGCTCAGTAATTTTCATATTTTCTCTCATGCTCTTGGTTTTACCATTATAAATTTAGTATGATTGGGATACTATTATAGTTTATAATAATATTTTGGTTTTATTTTTTTCCATTTTAATTTTATTTTTTACAATTTTAGTAATTTTGTTGTGTTTTGTCAGTTTTATAATTTTTTTTTAAGTCTAATGTGATAAATAATAAATAAAATATTCATTTTCATAGTTACAGTCAAACATTTTTTTCATTTTTTATATTAATTTTTATTAATTATTTTAGTACATCAGGTTAAAAATATTTATTTTATTTCAGTTAACTTTAAATTTGTTGGAATTTTTTTTTTTTTTTTTTATGATTTTAGTTTTAATTTTTATTAACTATAATAACCCTATGTTTACTTTATGAAATGTAATACTGCCCTCTGCTGGTGAGAACAACTATTTTGGAAACATGCTTGTTGCTGTATTATCTTTAAATGAAATTCACATTTAGGGTTAGAAGCTAAAAACTATGGCACTTTGGCAACATATTTTTACCGTTAACTTTTCAATAAAAGACGAAAGTCAGACTTATTTATGTATTTTATCTGACACCATATTTCAGTAAAATTATATCAACGCTACGATTGCAAAATCTGCATATGTAATGAAACTGAGCTATTTTGATCAAAGTAATTGTATGACAACAGTGACGTAATATTGCACCAATGTTGCCTACATTTACATTTACATTTACATTTAGTCATTTTGCAGACGCTTTTATCCAAAGCGACTTACAATTTGGGGATACATAAAGCGATTCTTCTTAAAGAGGCAATGGAAGTCTGTAGCATAAGGCTTGTCCAGATGAATGTTGAAGTAGCCAAAGATTAAAAGTGGACTGCCATCCTCCGGGAATGAGGAAACCAGCCCATCCAGCTCTTCTAGGAAGGTGGATAGAATTTGCCCAGGAGGGCGGTAATTGGCATATAAATGCCATAAATTATGACTGTGATTTGTATACAGTACAGAAATGTATATTTTGTCCTTCATGCTCTTTTATAATCCTCTTTAGCAAACCCTCTCGCTATTCATTACCATGCGCAGCCAGAGTCCACCACACACGGGCTTTATTGCCGAGCCAGTGCGCATGCGCAGTCACACGCCAGTCTCGTGTTAGCAGGTCGGCTATCTTGACTATCCGTATCCTTCAGTCCGAGCTGCGCTTGAGCCAGGTGAGCCGCACTATGTTCAGAGCCGCCCTTCAACTCTCAGTCTCCGGTGCTCGGAGTTTAACAAGGTCACGGCCACAATATACAGGTAAATGCAGAATTTGCCATTAATTATGAAACCGCTGATAGGAAAAACGTCAATAAGAGGCAGAGTTAACGGAAACACCTTGAACTTTAGTTTAGCACATAAGCTAACCAAAGCCGCACCGGTGCCTTGCAAGAAAGGTTATACCTTTCAGAAGTTATCACACGCCAAGTCATAATTTGGATAACAGCATTTCCACATGACAGTCGCGTTTTCCCAGTAATTTATGAAGTCCTGTAGATGTTTTCTCACAGTGTCCTTGCAATGACCCGCTAGAGTGAGGCTTCGGCCCAGCGCGAGGAGGAAACGCGACACTCAAACTGAACGCATCCCAGATTGACACTTTTTTTCTGTCAGATTGACATTTAATTGAAACAGCTAGTCTAGTGTGTAAATACGTGGGTTTTGACAGCTTTTCAAACAGCCGGTGTGGTTTACATAAACTCCTCTGTAAGTTAGCAGTTTTGTCATACGGTAAATGAATACGTGCGCCGCAAGGTTGCATGTATGAAGAATGCGCATAAATTCCTATTGCATGAATTTAAAGCGTCGCTGTAGCTAATACTATCAGCCAGAATGTTTTCTATGACAGTGCACTGACCTCTATGAAAACCCACACCTCATATGCAAATGTAGTGTCATCAGAATGTACTTCACTTCATGAACGTACAAACATCTAGTTTGCATGTTTTGAATTATACGTCTCGTTTTGGGGATATCAGTTGAACTTTTTGTCTGACCTTCTTTAGCTGATAGATAAGCATTAGCCCAAATCATACTGACCCAACGGACCATGTACCCTCAAACAAAAGCACTGGACCAGTTCCAACTGGAACAAGGCCTGTATGCAAAATGTCACTGCACTATTAAGTGTTTTTCACCATCACTGAAACATGAAATTACTTTGGATTAGATTTATGGCCCTTTCATGCTTACAGTACTTCCCGGAAGTACTTTGGCTGTGACAATGTTATTATTGTCTGTATGTCGTTTTCTAAGGCTGATAAAGTGAGTAATTTTTGCTAAAAGTCTCTTCTGATTGTCTCTGGTCTTTCTCTTCCACAGCTTCAGTAGCTGCTCGTTCTTATTCCCATGGCAAACAGGAGACAGATGAAGAGTTTGATGCCCGCTGGGTCACTTACTTCAGTAAGCCAGACATTGATGCTTGGGAGCTGAGGAAAGGTGGGTAACAGTGGCGCTTTGACCTTGTTATTGAATCGGCAGCTGTGCATTCGACTGCTGAGCTTGTAAAGTGAGAATTTACTCTCATAAATTTATTTTAGTGGCCATATGTTCTGTTTAAAATCCTCTTGAATCTGAATGCTGCTCTTTAAGATAGCCATATTTCTGAAAGTGAGTTCTAAGTGAATTCAGTAGCAAGCTATAGTGCATTACTGTATCTTCCCTGAAATGTTTTGTTTGTTGTTTCCTGAAAATTAATATACAATCTTAAATACAATTTTTTTTAATTATATATATACTTTTAAACATTTTACATTTAAAATTATTCATATATATATATATATATATATATATATATATATTACTTGCACCATTAGACAAAACAGGTTTCCACCAGTAACAGTAATGTTTCTGTTTGTTTTTAATATTTGCTAACCTGTAAAGCTGGTTTAGTTTGATCCGTTAGTATCACTTCTTCAAAAATGTATGACAGTCTGTTTATCTTTAACCTGTAAAATCTTTGGAACAAGGAAGTATGTTTTTGGTTACAAGCTCGAACTGACTGTAGAGTAAATACATGTCTTCTTTTGTTTTGCTTCAGGAATGAACACTTTGATCGGTTACGACTTGGTACCTGAGCCAAAGATCCTGGACGCAGCCCTGAGAGCCTGTCGGAGGCTAAACGATTTGGCCAGTGCCATCCGCATCCTCGAGGCAGTCAAGGTCAGTAAAACTCTCTGGACAATAGCAGAATATGCCACAGTGGCATTAATTAATTTATGTCTTGAAGCTGCATTATTTAACATGATTTTTCTGAAATAGTTTTTTACTTAAAATTGTTTTAAATTTTAATTAGATTTTATTTTATTTTACTCGTACTCCTTTATTTATTTTAATTTATTTATTCACACAGGACAAATCTGGCCCACACAAAGAGATCTACCCCTACGTTCTCCAAGAGCTGCAGCCTACCCTCAATGAGCTTGGCATCCCTACACCTGAGGAGCTTGGCATTGACAAAGCATAGATGTCTGCGATTGTGGTGAGTATCAGCATGCAATTTTTAAAAAAAGGACACAATTCAACCTCTAAGCAATTGCAAGATGTGTTTCCTTATTTGATTTAACATGTGCATCTTTCCTTTTTACCTACAGAGTCTTCCAGGAGACTGCTGCTCTTGTCTGGACTGAGTAGACCACTGTACTTGAAGTCTTTGCCTCGTGTCATGGTGTTTGTGTTATATTTAATTGGCCTTTATTATGTTCTTTTGCTTGTAAAATATTGATGGACCTAATAAAGGGAGATATATCTTTATTCAATCTTGTTGTGTTTTTATCTGATGACTCAGGTTTTGCTTCAAACTTGTATTAACTTGTATTTTTTATAAGGGTTATAATGAATCACAACAGAAAAATCTATCCTCTTAATCTTTCAAAATGGAAAACTATTTTTGTTAAATGTATTGACATTCTAGTGAATTGTTTTATTTGTAATTTAATAATAATTTTAAATAAAAAAACTTTACCTGTGAATGTGCGAGACTTCCGTTTCATTAACTATATGTAAACAGAATAATAACAGTAACGGACTGTTTTTGCACAGCTAAAATAACTGGGAGCGGCCAACACCGGAAGTCTCGCACATTAAAGGTAACCAGTGTTGGGGAGTAACTAGTTACATGTAACGGCGTTACGTAATTTAATTACAAAATAAATGTAACTAATCCGTTACAGTTACTAAGAAAAAATGTGTAATTAAATTACAGTTACTTATGAAAATGTTAACGATTACAAAGGGGGTTGTTGCAAATAAACATTCATTAGAAATGTATAAAAGTAATAAAAAAGTAATCAGAAGTAATCAGTTACATTACTTTAATAAAGTAATTGAAAAAGTTACACTACTATTACATTTTAAATAGGGTAACTTGTAATCTGTAACCTATTACATTTCCAAAGTAACCTTCCCAACAATTAAGGTAACAACTGCTGCGACCGCTGTTACGTTAAAAACAAGGTGCATAGTAAACCGTTCTTGTTTTTCTGCTCGACACAAGCTATGATTATTTAGTAAATGTTATAGCACTTTTTAACCAGTGGAGGGCGCAGCAGGAATGCGTTCAACCTAAATCATATCAAAAAAGTAAAATCACAATCAAAACATTTAAAGTTGTTGTGTATGCATAATGAATAAAACGATTTTAGGTCAAACGTGTTTTTCCCCATCGTACTATTAATAATTGTTAATTTCCGTTCTTCTATAAACATTGTGGCTAATTTGGGGTCAGAATTTCGAGCCTAAAATAAAAAATGGCAGTATAATAGATGCTTGAATCAGCCATGCAAGTGTATGTTAACTCCCATCGGTTTTTGTGCTATAAATATTTTACTTAGCTGCTTGCAAAGGGGAAACGTAAGAACGTAGTAACTTGTTGCACGAGCCAGTGGGGCGGGATTTAAATGTGCGGAAATGTGCGGTAATGTGCGGGGGGTTTGGCTCCGGCTGGAGGAGGAAAAGTCGAGGGGACTGTGGGAGTCCCTGAGCGCGCAGTTCGGGAGGTGAGGTCAGGCGTTTCCCCTTTGGCTGGCCCCACTGTCGAGTGTTTTTTTTTCCCTCTGCAAACACCGAGAGGTTTATTACCGTTCTATCAGAGGGGATATTACACGTTCGGGTGGATGCACACGTACTTGGTGCGCTGAGCAAAACACGCACGGTGGTTTATCTAGGAAAACAGTGATGGTGGACAATTCCAGTAGCAGCAAAGCGCAAGTGGTGAGTTCCGTCCTGTTGGCACAGAGCCCTGTTGAATGTATTGATAAGCTACTGTAATATTTAATCAGCAGACCTCGAGCGTATAAAATATTGCATGTACATTTAATAGTTTTTGATATAAACTCAATGAGTCGGTATTTATTATAATTACATTCGTGTGAATGATCAAGCTATTATATGTAGCGAAAATCCACATTGTACACGTCATGATTTCAAGATTGTTTTTTCTGATGATACAACTCGAGCTGTTTATTAGTTGTTAGAGTTCTTGTGTTGCTGGAGTCGAAAAGTCAAAAACATCTCCGTTTCCGTCAGAACGCGATACTTTATAGCGTCGTGTGTTTGTTCTCTTTTTTAATAGCTTAATTGTTTTTGGAAGAGCGCCATACTTTTGGGCAGCCATGATTCGACTGTGAACTGAAAGTCTTCTTTTATTGCGCTCACTTATCAAACTGTGCTTTAATTAGTGATAAAGTAACCGCATAAATCGACTGGATTTGGCTAAATATTAATTATTTAACAAAATGTAAAGCGACACGCCGTTTTGACCGGACATCCGGTCGTTCTACTATCCCGACTGGTCGCCTCTATGGGGGGTCAAAGGTAGGATGGCCTACTGGGCAATAAGCGAGCCGCGGAATGCGACGTTAATCTTTTTGGGACGTATAAATACTGTTAATACGAATTAAAATTCTTGCGAAATTAATTCGAATTCCACCCAGCCATGTCCGTTTTGATGATTTGCTTACACGTATTTGTTTTTCATTTAAATTAAACAAATGTGACTCTCCTCCTTCATGTCGTTTGTGCTTATTTGTTTACGCGTATTTGTGTTCTATTTGTATCTAATTCGAATTGAGTCCATTTGAATTTCTCAACCGTGTCGTTTGATTGCGTCGATAATTCGAACTCTAATGCCTTTAAGTTAATGTTGGTTTGAATTTTAAGAATTTACAGGTGCATCTCGATAAATTAGAATGTCGTGGAAAAGTTCATTTATTTCAGTAATTCAACTCAAATTGTGAAACTCGTGTATTAAATAAATTCAATGCATAAATGAACTTTTCCACGACATTCTAATTTGAGATGCACCTGTAAGTTGCTCAAAAACAGTGTGATTGTTTCGTTTACACATTAATTGTTGTGTTGCGTGAATGTTTAAAAAAAACGTAACTTTTGAAATTTAGTTATTAAAATGTTTATTTATATGTATTTTCAACCAATAATGAAAATTCTGTCAGACATTTCCCACCCTCAAGTTGTTTCAAACCTGTATGATTTTATTTCTTCTGTTTAATACAAAATATGATATTTTGAAGAATGTGAGTAACTAAAGAGTTGCTGGTCCCTATTGACTTCTATAGTATGGGGGAAACTGTCTGGTTACCCACATTCTTCAAAATTCAGCAGAAGAAAGAAATTCATACAGGTTTGGAACAACTTGAGGGCGAGTAAATGATGACACTATTTATATATTTAATTATTTGTTTGTTTTTTGAGGGGTGAACTAGCCCTTTAAATGTTGATCGTATTGAACTGTTGTTTTAGTAGAGTATGTTGCACTTTCTTCATCCTAAAATATTTGTTTTTTAAGTGGAAAAAAAAATGAATTTAGCTTTTAAAAATATGTTTACAGAATTAATTGACTTATTTTCCTCTATCCACAATGCAGCCCAGCTTGTCTCAGGACAGCGGTCTGGCTGGTGCATTTTCTCAGGTGGCTTTCGGAAGTGCGGCTGGAGTCAAACTGGAGGCGGTTATGGAGCAGCTCCAGAGACAACAACAAGTTAAACTGGAGATGGAGCGCAAGGAGAGACACCTCAGGGAAGCCCATATTCTGTACACCCAGCAGCTGGCTGCACAGCAAGCCATCATGGCCTCCGCCAGAGCTCAGGGCACCCCATTAACCCCTGATTTCTACAGCAAAAACTCCAGAGACAGAGCGCTGAAAGGCGGCCAGGGGCCTCAAACTGTCAGGGGGCCCATGAAAACTGGCTCTGACCAAGTACACGAGGAAGACGCTGCTGATGAGATGGACAGAGGAAGAGGGTCAGAGGGGGACGAAGACGACGACGATGAGATGATGGATGGGGAAGACGGTAGCGAAGAAGAGGAAAGCGAAGGCTTGGAGTTCCTCAGGAAGCAAAGTCTTGCTCTTCAGCAAGTGTCTGTCGGAGTTCCTCCGTATACATTCCCCGTCTATGCCGCATCGCCATCCGCTGCTAAAAAACGTCCCCTGTCGCCGACCACTAAGGTGAAAGACGAACCGGAAGACTCCCTTCCCGACCAACAATCGTTCAGCACACCAAACGGACTGGCTGATTGGAGCCTCGATGACTCATTCAAACAGGTTTGTATCTATATTTCTTTGACTTGTCATTAATCTCAAGAGGTTTCAGTATGGCAGGCATTCGCAGGCGTTGTGTTTACTCTCATTTTATCACCAATTACCTACAAGAGCAGCAAAACAGCATATTTTCATTCATCTTTGCATGATTTTAGGAGTGCCAGATAATGAGATGAATTGTAGAGAGTCTTTACATGTTCATAAACTGTGAAACCACTAAAACAGACTCATCCCGGCTTACTGAAACGCTATTGGCTCTGAATAGGACATCTAATCCAGTTTTCTCGAGCGCAACAGGAATACGTGTTCTCCCTAAAGTGTACAAAAGAATTTGGTTGGACTTCTACCTCTTTAATAAGAGGGAAGGGTTTAGTGAATGAGCTTTATTGAGTCACTTCATACAGCATTGTTGAGTGTAGTGTTGTCAAAAGACCCGGTATTTCGGTACCAAGTCGGTACTAAAAAAATGAAAACGTTACGGTACCAGGTTTTCTGAAGTTCCGGTGGTACCGAGTACCCGGTTAACCCGGTTCTTGATGCGCTATCTGAAACCTGTCCTCTTCCAGTGTTGCCAAGTCTGCGGTTTTCCCGCGGAATTGGGCTGCTTAACACTGTTGCCGCGGGTTGTTTTCATGTCCGCGGGTTGAAAAACGACCCACTAACGTGATATTTAGCCCCTGGAATGCGAATTTTACCAGGGGAACCCCGCCAAAACACGCGTATTTTTATCCCCGGAACGCGATTTTTAACTGGGATCCCCTCGAAACGCGATTGGGTGGGTTTTGTTGTGAAAACCTGGCAACCTCTTCATAAAAGCAGTGGAGACCTCAAGAGGAGGAAACGCATCAAACTAACAAAACACCCCGATCAAGTTCAAGCAGGTAAGTTTCAATTACATTTTTAATACACACCAGAGGCTTTTAAACGAACTGTGTAACCAAAATATGCATGTTAGAGAAAAGTACAAATGTATGGTTAACAGTGTTTGTCATGTCAGTCCGTCAGAAAAAGTTTTTTTTTTTTTGTTAGTTAGTTGTAATTCTTGGCTGAATATCTCTAGCAGGTTTTAAAAGCCCTTTAAAATTAAATATGAACACAGTTTGGATTAAATAAAAGTACAGTCAAATTTTATCTCCTGTATAGACTTTACTGT